AAAGAAAAAGAAAAAAGGAAAAGGAACGAAAAAAAGGGAAAAGGGGGTAACGGTAATACACCAAACGGAAAGAAATTACACGACCACTGTCGTCTCTCTCTACTTCACCACCCCACCCACCACACTCTCTCTCTCTCTCTCTCTCTCTCTCTCTCTCTCTCTCTCTCTCTCTCTCATGGCATGAGAAACCCACTTCTCACTCTTACAACCCACGTCCTCCTCAGTCTTATGCTCAAAAACCACCTCCCTCCTAATCTCTTGTAACCACTATTTCTCTTTGTTATGATCAGGTAGGCCATGGCTATCCTTCTCTTTCTCCTTCTCCTCAGTGTGGCACTCATTCTGAGATTATTAGGAGCTTCCAGAAGAGAGAATGCAAGAAAGGGACTCGAGACATTCTTGCCTCAGCTAGAAAAGCAACTCGGCCGAGTCCACTGTCCGTATCTCTTCACAGGATATAGTAAATGTGCATGAAAAAGATAGCAATTCATACAAAGAAACAGGTTATATATCGTAATTCTTTAATTGTATGCCTCCAGAAGACAGTCATTCATCAAATCAGTTTATACCATTCAAGGACAATAACTCACATTACATTTCATATGATCTATAAAGATATCAGAAATATAGAACTGTATTTAAGAAGAAGGCACAATCACTTTATATACATTCATCATCCATCTGCAAACTAGCGTTAACTTTCAAATCCTCATCATTTCATTCAACCATACATTTTATCAAGGCCATTCCCAATTGACTCACCATCCACTAAAGCAAAGAAACACAGATATAAGGAACCGAATTCAAACACTGATACATGACAAAAATCATTAAATGCTGATTTGCGTTCAAAAAACAAAGATTTTATTTAGGTTTTAAGAGGTGAAGAGATTACTCGATGCATAAGAAAGCTCCCTTGGTATCCCACAAGGTCTACCAGTTTGACTGTAAGAAAAGCAAGTGCCAATTGACCTGTAATTCCTACAATTCTAAGAAACAGAAAACAAAGTGATCAAATCTATGAACAATTTTGACAATTTAAACATAAATTCTTAAAGAGAGCACAAATGTGACAAAAATTGTATATACCTGTCGATTGTTGCAGAGAGATTTGGCGTAAAACCCTAGCAAAGAGAGCCTACCCATTCTCAATCTGAATAAACCCTAGTATCCTGAATCGACATGTTCACCTGGGAAAACACAATGTTAAGTAATATGGAGTGACGGGAGACGAAGATTCTTGTCTTGGTCGCGAAAGCAACGTACACGGGTTATTTGAAGAATTATGACAAAGGTACCACATGTGCAGCGAAGGAAAATGCACTCCACATTCGTCTGTGCTCCTGCGGGAGCAGATCATACGAGCTTAGCATTTATATAACAGGTGTGCCATTGTCCCATGCACGTTGTCCTTCCCCAAATAAAAGGCTTAAAGCTAATATGAAACATTTGAAAATACTATAAATTTTTAAACCTTCAAAAATCGGAAGTTTATATTCAATATCAGGCATGATTGTTACAGTATACTCGAGTAGGAGTATGAAATTTAAAAGATTTATTTTAACGTTATGCCTTTTTGAGGCACGTAGCAGTTCTAATTTCAATAGTTGGATATTCCTTTCCACGACGCGTACGTTGTGACTGCGAAATTTTGCTTCCAAAATTACAAACAACCGCCAATAACGAACTGATGCAACTCATCTCCAACCAAAATTTTTTTCTCATTTTTTGTCCAAAATACACTTTCTGTTCAAATATCCTTTTTTTTACAAAAAGAATAATAATAATAATTTTGGTCCAACCAATTTTTTTTTTTCATTTTTTTTTTTGCAAAATACACTTTCTTAACAGATATCTCTTTTTGTATAAAAAAATAATAATAATTTTGGACGGACGTTCATGTCGGTATACATACACTACCAAAAAAGCCACATGGGCTGTCGGACGCGTTAAACTAAAAAACATGCCGAATCGCGTTCATCCTCTACCTGACCGATTGTGTCCAGGAAAAATGTGTTGAACCGCTTGTTCAATTTGCTAGACCGCAATTTGCTAGAAAAAAGTATCGACGCACGTGTTTGTTCTGTCGGACTGCACATTTGTCCAAAAACATTAGTGCTGAACGGCTTATTCAATTTGACGGACCGCAATTTTGACCAAAACGAAAGTGTCGGACCGACGGATCATCGTTTTGACCAGAACGAAAAGTGGTAGACCACTTGTTTTAATTGAAAGAGGGAAAGAAGAGAGATAGGCATGAGTAAAAGTATTAAGGTAGTTTAATTTTTATTTTATTTTTTTGGAGTTGAGGGTATTTGCTGAGAAAATATGTTTTGAAGTAAAAAATGAAAAAAAAACGCGGATTTAAGATGGGTGGCATAGGAAATGTCTATTTGGGGTTTTTTTGTAATTTTCCCAAGCCATCTTTTTACGTGGAGCCTGTTTGTATTGTAGGAAAGGGTTTTTTTTGTTGGGAAAGAACTTTCCATCTGGCCTGTCCAGCTCTTTGGTTCAAAGATGGTGAGAGACATTAATGCCCCTGAGAAAGCGCTACGGTGTATTAACTGGTCGTTGGTTCTCGTAAAATAGTTTGTTCGAATAATATTTATATAAAAAATGTTTATATATGTAAACAATCTATAGGAAAATAATTACTCAAACAATGTTTGGTAAACACTGTTGGTACCAGCGAGAGAGAGAAGAGAACACAATACATTTGAACTTTTAAGATAATTTCTCAAGTTTTGAAATAATTTCCCTAAATTTTAAAATTTGATAGAGTTTCTCTTTTTAAGAATTTTAAGACAGTTTCTTTCTCTAAAACTTAAATTTTGAGATAATTTCTCTCTCTAAAATTTATGAGACAGTTTATCTCTCTAAAATTTTGAAAATTGAGATAGCTTCTCTTTCAAAAAAATTTGATATAGTTTCTCTTTCTAAAAGTTTTAATATAGTTTTTCTCTAAAAATTTTGAGATAGTTTCTCTTTCTACAACTTAAAATTTAATATAGTTTCTCTTTCTAAAAATTTTGAGATAGTTTATCTCCATAATTTAAAACTTTAGTTCATTTCTCTCTAAAAATTTTGAGATAGTTATCTCTCTTAAAAATTGAAATTTCGGATAGTTTCTCTTTCTAAAAGTTTTAATATGGTTTCTTTCTAAAAATTTTGAAATAGTTTCTCTTTCTTCAACTTAAAATTTAATATAGTGTCTCCCTCTAAAAATTTTGAGATAGTTTATCTCTAGATTTTAAAACTTTAGTTTATTTTTCTCTAAAAATTTTAAGATAGTTCTCTCTCTTAAAAATTGAAATTTGATATAGCTTTTCTCTGTAAAAATTTTGAGATAGTTTCTCTCTCTAAAAGTTTTAATGTAGTTTCTCTATTTAAAGTTTATGAAATAGTTTCTCTCTTTAGAACTTGAAATTTTGCATAGTTTTTCTCTCTAAAAATTTTGATGTACTTTTTCTCTAAAATTTAAAAATTGAGATAGTTTTCTATCTCTAAAAATTTTAATATACTTTCTCTCTCTATAAATTTTGACATAGTTTCTCTCTCTAAAAATTTACAATTTGAGATAACTTGTTAATCTAAAACCTTTGAGATAGTTTTTCTCTCTAAAATTTGAATTTCTCTCTAAAATTTGTAATTTAATATAGTTTCTCTCTCTAAAATGTTTAAGATACTCTCTCTCTCTTTAAAACTTAAAATTAGAAATTGTTTCTCCATCTAAAAAATTTGCGATAATTTCTTTTCAAAAATTTGAAACAGTTTCCCTCTCTAAAAACTAAAAATTTGAAATAGTTTCCCTCTCTAAAAATTTTGAGATAAGTCTCTCTCTAAAACTTTTAAGACAGTTTCTCGCCCTAAAATTTTTTCAGATAGTTTATCTCTATAAAGTTTAAAATGAGATAGAACTTCTCTCGAAAAATATTTAATATAGTTTCTCTGTCTAAATTTTGACATAGTTTCTCTCTCTAATACTTAAATTTTGAGCTAGTTTCTCACTCTAAGAATTTCAGATAGTTTGTTTCTCTAAAACTTAAATGTTAAGATAGTTTAATTGAGGATCCTATAGGTAAAAAAAACAGTGCGTAATTTTTTTCCCACTTCATGAGTAGGGAGTTCTTTTCTTATAATAAAGGTTATTTTCTGGTGAATATTTTTTTCACATGTTTAAAAGTATGAAATAAACATATGTAACCTCCATTTTCATATAAAAAATTTCCAGTGGATTATTTTCAAACAAATCAAATTACCCCTAGTGTATTTTTGTGAGAAAGCACTTTCATACCTATTTTGGTATAAAAGCCCTTTTTGCATGAGCAAGTTATATTTCAAAATTTATGGTACTAAAAATACATCCCAATAAGTGTTACCCGAGGGAGTGAATGGATAAAGGGTTCATGAAAAAGCATATTTATCTGGTCCATTTTCAAGTTTTTCATGTGTTTATAGGATATGCTTGTTTGAATCAGTTTGAAGTTCAAAATTTTATAATTAGATATGAAAATAGATTCACCATCCGTCCTAAAAAATTTCAACATAAAAGTCACATTTTATGAGAAAATTTCAACATAAAAATCTCATCTTATGAGGTATGCCTTACTTTGGTTGTTTAAGGTTCTTATGAGGTATGCCTTACTTTGGTTGGTTAAGGTTCTTCAAAGGTCAACTGAATGTAATTGCTTTAAAAATTATAAAACCCGGCTTTGAAAACACGATTGGATTCCCCCAAACCGGCTTTTAATATATTACCTCATCGCTTCCACTTTATATCCATGGACAGTGACCACAGTGCCACTACCCCACTTCTGACGCTGAGTCCGGCGCAATAGCTTGCCCTTTTTTTTTTTTGTTATTGGAATAATTGTATCTTTTTTTATCAAGTGAGCCACTGACAGATTTTATTTGTAGTTTTTTCTTTTTTTTAGCTTTTTTTTTCTACAAAATTGTATGAATATGAAATGTGGTATGTGTCATCTACTCAATAAGCCACACCTAAAAAAATTATTAAAAATAATTTTTCGATAGAATATAATGACCAAAATACCTCTTAAAACTTTCAAAAGGTATTTTGGTCATTTTGTTTTATTGGGAATATTTTTTTTATAGTTTTCACTAGTACGAGTTTAAGAGAAAAGTGGATGCCCTAATTTCGGTGTCAAAATATTTTGTAGAAATAAAATTAAACATACAATAGTGTAGAGACGTGATATTGTGATTGGGGCCAACTCGGTCGTCTATTCAGAATGTTCATACCAGGAAATATATACCTTTTATGTTGTAGAGGAAGCATAGAAAACTTGCCCATAGAAATAATCCTATCCACATAAATTCTTCTCTTGTTTCAGAAAATATAAACCAAATAAATGGCACATTTTCATTGCCTTTGCAGCTAACATGCCCCCGTCCACCAGCCATGGATAACACCTCTCATTCAGGAGAGGCATAGGACCTTGACTCACGAATAAGATCAAGAGATTCCTTATCAAACTTAATTTGATCACTCTCCATCAACTTTACAATGTCTAGAGTTACCATACGAGCTTGAACATAGACTCTAAGCAAAGATTTATAAACTGAAATATTCACAAGTCCATAATGTCGTAGGGTATTCACATATCTTTCAGTATCTTCAATAGAACCTCTTTTCTCAAAATACTCGGCAATGGCTGCCAGTATCGAATTCGAAGGACGCCACTTACAACCTTTCAACCTTGAAAGCCCTTTCTCCATGGCTTCAACAGCCTTATCCATCTCATTGCGGTCCACCCACCCCTCCGTAAGTATCTCCCATGTCTTAAAGTTTGGAATAGCACCTTTCCTCAATGTATGTTGATGCAATGCCTCTGCCTTATCCATCCATCCCTTCCTCACATAAGCACCTAGAAGCACATTTGAAACCCTAACATCATACTTCCTACACTTCGACTCCCATTCCTTAAAAACCTTTTCGGCTTCTCCAATATCCCCGACCTTCACTAAACACAACATTACACACATATAATTTGTGCAAGAGATTCTACCTTTAACTCTCTTACTCAACTCCCAAAGCCTAAGGACCCCCTCTTTGTTGCTCAATGAGGCATAGAGTGTAATGAGAAGGAAATATCCAAGTCGATTTTTATTTGAGAGCTTCTGTTCAGCTGATTTTAATGCCTCCATTGCCTTTAGGGTATCTCCAGCCTTGACATATATGTTGGCCATTGTGGCATATGAGCTCCAACCTGCATTTACATTCTCATCATTCACCATTTCCTCATAAACCCTACGAGCGGCAGGTGGACCAGCAATCATTCCACATGCATTCATCCAAAGGTTGTAAGAGAGAATATTGAGAGGAGTCATGGTTCGCTTCATTTGTCGAATCACAAGGAGTACTTTTCGATAGCGCCCAGTGGCCATATAAAGCTTCATCATCTCATTGTAAAGCGCTGGGTTTAGAGCTAGGCCCCAACCTTGCAACTTTGACATGAATGCTTCAGCATTCTCGGTGTCCTTGGCTTTCGCATAGCAATGGAGAAGTGGAAGACATGCAGCCTTTCTTGATGCATCATCTTTGAGATTTTTGAAGTATACCTCGGCTTGTGGCAAACCATGGACACTAATAATCAAATCAAGCCTGATAGCATGGTCGGTTGCTGACATTTGATTCTTGTTTTTGTCTGCCATCCATTCTGAAATCTGCATTGCAAGTGCAGGGCCTATTTAGCATCTAGAGTTTGTACCGACTGATATGGTTCATAAGTCAGCTTTAACAAATTCAAAAAGTTATGCATGGCCAATTGGAGTAATCGGTAACTGTAGAGCACAAACAATGCTTAAATGGTTCGAGCATAAGTTGGGATGATGGTCAAAACTGGGGCCATGACCGGAAGTACAAGGGCAAAAAGAAAACCAATAAAACCATATTAATCAATTTGAGCTTCATGTAGTCAAGAGAACCTTCAGAAGTGAAATGTACACTACGGCTGTCAATCTCTTGCTAAAATTCTGAACTATTGAAAGAATTATGATGCTATTTCCTGAGACCAGCATGCAATTGCTATTGTCAGAAAACGTCCTGACCAAAAGCCATTGTGGAAGTTGCTCACATCCATAAAATGATGCAAATCTGGAAGATCATATACAACATCCAAATGCCAATATCCTAAGCTGCATTACCATCTAAATGCTGCAGTTCCAGTATTTACCAGAAAAGAAAAGGGCTATGAACTTCAAGTCACAGTGGAAATAAGGACAAAAAATCATAACCAATTGAGCTGATTAAGAAAATACAATATATAGATGATTGCATGCATCACCTAGGAAATATAAAACTCAATGTTTACCAAACAAACAATTTTTCTAATTCTTCTTATCAAAGAGATTTGATCTGATTTTTATTACTACCAAAAAATTAGAATATCCTCACAAACAAGCCATAGAGAAAACCAAGCAATCACCTTCTCCTGTTATGTATGGCATACAAACATGTGAGAGAGTGAGAGAGAGAGAGCAGATCACATATTGAAACATTATTGTGTCAATGTATCAATAGCTGGGAGGTAATCATATTCTATCAGAAGTTGGCGTAATGCCTCTGCTTCATTGGTTAACCCTGTTCTCACATATGTATCAAGAAGCCTATTGCAGACCCCAAAATCAAAATCGGGACCTGAATATGTCTTCCACTCATCAATTGCATCACCAGCTTCTTTCATGTGCCCTAGCAAAATATAAGATGAGATAACACACATAAAGCTCCTGCTTGTCATTTTCTGAGACATCATCCTTAAGGATTTCCATATTTTACTAATTCCATCTTTCTTGTTCAAGCCAGTGTAAAGAATTATGAGGAAATCATATGTAATCCACTCCCTCTGAGTAGTCTTTATTTCAGCTTCAACAACAGCATTTTCTGCACTCTGAAGATGGCCAACGCTAAGATAAATATTGACAAGCTTTATATAAATTTCCCAACCTGCACCAAAACTGGAATCACTTCTCATCTCATTTAGAATTCTCTGAACCCCATCAATATCTAGAGTAGCAGCACAAGCACTCGTCCAGAGATTATAAGTGAAAAGGTCAGGAGAAACCTTGTGCTTTTTTACTTCTTCTATAACAAGATGAACCTTATCCAATTGCCCAATGTGTATATATAGAGTCATTAATTCATTATAGGGAAGCACACTTAGTGTGAGGCCTGAACCTTGAATTTCTTCAACAAGCCTCTCCGCCTTTTCTGTTTGCTTCTCTGCTGCATATGAATGGAGGAGAGCGGTGTAGGATTCGACCGTTTTCCCAATCAATGGAACATTCTCAAAATATTCATTAGCAGCATCAACTCCAAGAACTTTGGTTATTAAATCAATTCGAACTGTGTAATCCCCCTCTGAGAACTTAAATTCTTCACGACCTTCCATCCACTCAGATATCTGCAAATTTATAGAAAACCTCGATACATTTTTCATCAAAACAGAAACAACAAGCAGGAGATTGATGCTATAGAGTTATAGTAACCACGAATATCGCAACGACCAACCACTTCATATTGAATGAAAAGCAACGCAAAGATCAACAACAAATTCTATAATCTAACCACATTTACTGAATACACACCCTCGGTCTCAAAACGTCCAATCCACAATTTTGAATTGCTTCATATATTAAGACATTGTTTCTTCTGTAAGGAAATACAACTTATGAACGAATTTACAGGTACCAATTACTCCTATTGTCAATACCTAAAAGCCAAAAAATAAATCACTGAGAAGCTAATTTTATTAAACCAAAGCAGTACCGAAACCAGATTCAGAGACAGACCGACCTGAGCCGTTTCCCAATTCACTCCAATTTTGGAAGAAACAATATTCTACCAGTTGACCTCAATTGGATGAAATGATAATGCTGAAAGGTTCATATCAAGCATGCTTTTTAACTTGCTGTTCTAAACTAAAATTTAATTATTATACAGACGAGCATTTTTTTTCACAGGAAAATCATGTCAGCCTCATCTGGTTAAACAGCTTCACTGCCAGTATTCTTGATTTCTATAATCTCAGGTAAAGCCGCTTAGTTTAACTTGTAAACTTGCTCATGTTTGAGAACTATTTCATCAGAAACAGTATAGCTTATGGTTAAACCGTGAAAGATGTATAACTCTGCAGCCAGATATGCAAAAAGAAGTAAGATATTAATATAATAATATATAAAGGGCAAAATGCAACAGTTTAGTAATTAAAATAGGTGGGCAAAAAGATTGCTTGGGCTTAATACTCGGCCCCTGCATGAGCTGAGTAACTCAGGCAAGCCCCACGTGCACTAAGTCAGACTCGTCCGAGTCATTTACAAGCCCAATAAGGGATAAAAATTTGAAAAAGATACAAACGTTTGTTAAAAAAAATCTTAAAAAGCAAACTATAATTAAAAGACTAAAAAAGATGGAAAAAATACATAAAAGATGGAATTTGGAAAAGAATTGATTTATAGCCCAAAACAATATAGAAAAATCCAAAGGAAAGGGGAAAATAAAAAAATAGAGCATATGATAAGAAAAATCACATCACCATCAAAAACTCATTATTTCATATTTTTTACGATTTCTTTTATGTGTCTGCATTCGTACCGAAGACTTGATTCTGCAATGTGTCAAATCCAAGTCACTCAGCCGAGTTTTAAAACCTTGATTAAAACACAGCAAAAGACAAAAATGAGCATAATAATATTTATTATGGAAAAAAGAGATATGCTCTAATGTTCTTCATGCATGTTCAACTAATATTGAACCAGAACTCCTGAGTTTCAAAAATATCATAAGCCTAAGCAAGTGTATTTTCTCAGATAACCGTCCCACGTAACAGTATCACATTCCACTTGCCTCAAATTAGAGTCCAAATGTCTCTGCCAAGATATTATGCAAACAAAATCTTCTTTCATAAATATCATACAAAATACCCATCAACCATACAAAATACCCATCAACCATAAATAATCAAATATTACACGAACAAAATGTTAACCCTGAATCCAAACGAGCAATACACTCACATGAAAAGAAAAACCAATTTAACCCAAATTTAATCGAGGATCAATCAAGATAAACATGTTAAAAAACATAAATGCTTAACTAAAATCAGAGAAATGAGCTCTAGTCAACAGCTTAGAACTTCAGACCAAAGCAAACTAGACACCAATAATCGCTGAACATTTATATCACAATACATAATCCACAGTAGTATGCAAGAAACACAAAATGAATCCCACAAAATTCACAGTAATCGCTGATTTATTTTTTCTCAAAAAAATAAAAAATCCCCCCAAAGTAGATGCCCATTAACTTAGAGAAGTTTGTCAAAGTAAAAGAAACCCATTTTTCAAGTGAGAAATCACGTCTCATAACAGAAAGTGGAGAAACAAATGAAGATATTCCAAATTTCAGAGAGCGAAAACAACCTCGAGAGCATGCTTGTAACGCTGAGATTTCTTGAGATCCTTCACAATCAGCCTAAGCTCTGCTTGAGAAACAGGTTTTCCTTCTCCAACCCATCTCTCTAGCGCTGTCACTGCACTGCGTTTCGGGAATCTGAGCCTGAAGATCCTGTTCCTTAAATTATCCTCAGCAACTGGCGATGAAGCCTCTCTCTCATCTCCATGATCAAGTCTCTCTCTTCTCGGTGCCTCTTGTGAGACCTGTGTCGAAAAAAAGGGTGGCCTTTCCAGAGAGAGAAAATCTCTCTGATGTCTTCGAAGTACAGGGGATTCATGAAAGACCGATCCCAAAATGGAGAATTCCCTTTCTAGAGAGAGAAAGTACGTCGAATGCGTAATGACGTTTTTCTGAATAGGAATACTAGATAAAGAAGAGAGAGGAGTTAGTTCATGGTAAAAAGATGGATGATTGCAAGGGAGAGATACAGTCAGTAAATGAAACAGAAGGGAGAGAGAAGGGCCATTACCGCTTGATAAAAGCGTTGAAGAAGTGAGAGAAAGACATGGTCGAAGAAGCATGGCATTAAACGGCCGCGAGAGGATGCTGGTATGGCGCCATACTGAGGAAACACTTCAGAGGTCCACTGGCAGGGTTAGAAAAACGAGGGTTACAGGAAGTTTATATAAGATTGTAGCACTGTAACCTTGAAGTAAGCGGCATCTCAAACAGAAATTTACGAACGGATGTTTTTTTTAACCCCCATACGGGTACGGCCCGAAAATGGCCCGTTACTGTATGTTATTATCGGGAAGGATGTATAGGTTATTTTTATTTTTATTTTGTTAAATTTAATTTTAAGCCTTATGTTTGAAACATCATACCATTTGATTTAGTTAAAAATAAAAATATAAATATAAAACGACATTATTTCCATTAAAAAAACAACACTGTCTCATGGCTCAAACATTGGACGAGCCATCGGATCGCTTGTTTTATTAAAAATAAATGAATAAAAGACGGTCGGATGGATCGATTATTGAACCACTTGTTTTACTAAAAAAAATTCAGTAAAAGACGGCAGACTGCTTGTTTTATTGGAAAAAAATTCAACTTAACATTTCCTATAAAATCGCATAATTTCTTATTTTTCTTGAATTCAAAGCAACGTTGTAGTACCAGTCCTGTGAGATTAAGCTCGACGCTCGGTTGCAATGCTATTCTATCAAACATCAGGCCAGCTGGTCCCCCAACAAGACCTCATCTATCTTTTTTTTCATTTTTTGAATTAAGCCGGCAAAGACAGTATCCTTTTACCATTCCCAACTCATAACGCTTGTTTTACTAAAAAAAAAATTCAACTGAATGTTTCTATAAAATCATAATTTCCGATTTTTCTTGGGGCTGAGTTGTGGATTTTTTATTTGGGCTTTTACCAGATCTTGGGCTCTTGGGGCTAAATTGTGGATTTTTTATTTGGGCTTTTACCATATCTTGTGTTCAGGCTAGGTAATCGTGCCGCAATGCAGGTTAGTTCACTCCATTTCTGATCGTCATTGTTCTCTCTCTAAATTTGTTGGCTATTGGGCGGTGGTCTTGAGCAAGTTGGTGGTTTCCGATCCGCTTGCTCCCGGCCATGTATCTGAATTCGTGTTAGCATCTACTATGCTTTGATGCTGCTTCTGCATAATTTAGATGGAGAGATATGTATCTGAATTCGTGTTAGCATCTACCATGCTTTGATGCTTCTTCTGCATAATTTAGATGGAGAGATATAGAGAGAGATTGGGGATCCAGCTATTGTCCATTTATGAAGCTCTTGAAAAGTGGACTAATGGGATTTGATGATTGCAATACGAAGAGTTTTGCTTATTTCCACTGTATATGCACAAAGAGTCGTCTGTTCTTTCCTTTTTAAGTAAACTAATCGACCTGCAAACGCAAATCAGGTGAGATAAGAGAGCGAGATTTTTGACAGGGGGAGAGACAAGGCCGAGAGCAAGCAAGATGGAAGAGAGAGAAAGAAGAGAGAGAAGGTTTTGAGGGTGTAAATAAAATGGTCCACACTACGAAAAATAAAATAAAATCGTGGAGACGTCTTTTCAAGTAATAAAAAACTATTTTTGAGTCGTATCATTATAACACTAAAAAATCTAATAGAAAAAAGTGATTTGAAGTTAAAAGCCCTTCTATTTAACCACCTCAACCTCTGTTTTTTTTTAACGATAGCAATACAAAATATAAGGTGTACAATAAAAGAACATAATATCACTAAAATGACGTGAGAATCAAATAAGGAGCATGAACTCTTCCTTTGACAAGAGCATCACCATCTTCATTGGCCTCTCGGTAATAATGTTGAACAGTTGCCATGGAACTTGATAAAATATTCGTAATCTCATGAAAAATAATTTTTAACCTCCAAATAATATGTACTTCTCCCTTGCTCCAGGCGATGATGTTTGTCGAATCTCTCTCGATAATCCTATCCCCTTTCCGAGTAGAAATCAATTTCGGTCCCTTCATGAGGCCTTGTGCTTCCGCCTCATTTGCTGTTGTGATACCGCATGGACCCGAATAGAAAAAAATAATGTGGCCCGAATTATTTCTAATGAGTCAACCAAAGCATTTTGCCCATGGATTATCGAAGGAGCTTTTCAAAGTTAAATTTGAAGGAATTCAAAGGAGGTGGTTTTCAGACAACCGCACTACAAATATTAGTATTGATATTCATAGTCGCAATTGCCAAAGGGTTGCTGACAATTAAACTTGTAGAAATAAAAGCACTATCTTTATGAGCATGGAACCAGTCTGTTGCAACTGCAATGATGTTCGATTTTAATGTAAATAGGTATGTACTTATACTCTCAATACTTTCTTCTTTTTTTCCTTCCACACACTCCAAAAGAGGCTAAACCAAATAGATCTCCAAAAGATAGTTCCCGTTTTTGAGATACCAGATGTAATCCATTGGTCGAGGAGCACTCTGACATTCTAAGGGAATGGTGATGACAAATTGAGACATTAACGAGCCCAATCCTAAATATTTGTAACAAAAGGGCATGATAAGAATAGATGTTGGGATGTTTCATCCTTATCCTCGCATAGAATGCATACATTGGTGATGAAATAACCTATCTTCCTCAAGTGGTCAATGGTTGCTAATTTGTCCTGGCATAGTATCCATAAGATAACTTGCACTTTGAGATGCACATGTAGGTTCTTGATCTAAAAAAGCCCTGCGTCTAACTCCCTACTTCGGTCACAAAATAAGAGATTATAGGTGGATTTGACCTAAAATTCACCAGAGGGAAGAAGATCCTATATATAATTGTCATCTATAATTAGAGTAAGATATGTGTTATTCAATAAATCCAACAATGCTTGATACTTCTCAACGAATCTGTTTGTAACTCTCTTGTACATGTAAGGAATAGACCAAACAAAGTTATCATAACCACCCTCACTAGCCTCCTTGACGGATACTAGGGGTTTTAAGACTTTTGAGAAAACCTCAGAGAAGAGGTATCTCAAAGTGAACTCTCCAATCTATTTGTCAAACCAGAATAGTGTAGATTCTTTTCTCCCCGCCACTTTCCGAAACTACCTTAAGTATAAGGATCTCTCATAATCAATACCCCTCCAAATATGGAATAAGTTCGTCTTGTTTCTCGGACTTGTAATGAGACCATAATTTAAATCCATTTCATATTTATCTCTCAAAACATGAACCCTAAGGGACTCTAGTTGTGCATGGATCCTCATCACCACTTAACTAAGAGTGGCGAATTGATATGCTGCAATCTTCTAATACCCAAACCTTTCTCCTTCAATGGTGCACATACCTTTGCTCAATTCACCAAATGAAGCATTTTTCTTCTTTCATCATCTCCCTACAAGAAATTTCTCATTATTTTTTCTAGCAATTTTTCAACTTCTTTTGACATCTTAAACAAGGACCTGAAATACACTAGAAGATTGGACAAAGTGGATTTAATGAATGTGTATCTTCCCCCATAAAAAGAGTTTTGGATTTTCAAGTATCCAATGTTTTATAGAATCTTTCTGCTACCGGATCCCAAATAGATCATGAAGGCCCATAATCCACTAGAAGAATTCCCAAGTATGTACAAGATAAGGTATCTTCCCCACACCTCAGCCTTGACATGTATGAATATAAAAAATTTAAAGTCTTAAAAGTAGTGTATCTTGTAACAAGTTATTTATGCCGTTTATTTTTAAGATTTCCAAGTGTTTATAGATCTACTCGATCGACGCTATATCTAGGACTTGAAATTTAATAATTAGAGTTTAACATGGATTTTCAAACCAACATAAGGTCTCTGACTCTGGAATTATATCTTTTGGCAAAATTTAGAGGAATATCTTACTTGTATAGTGTAAGGTGAGCACCTTATACAAACATAAACCTGGTTTTCATCCTAAATCCAAATTAACTCTAGGAATCAATTTAATAACAATTAGTTTAAGTGGAAATAAATTATTTTATTTGAAATCTATACAGTCAATGTAATATTATTTTATGAAAAAAGTTTATATAAAGTGTTAACCTATACAATGAAACTATTATCTCATAGAAAAAGCTTATACAAGGTGTCAACCTCATTGTATGAAGTTAGGTGCGCCTCAAAAATCCTATAGAAGAGTGATTCGGAAAACCTTCAAATTGATCATTTCGACGTCAAGATGTATGTATATGGAGAAAAAACAAATTAGTCCTAAAAAATAGTGTTTTTCTTTCTAAAACATATATTTTAAAATATGTATAGATCTGATTGAACTTGTACTATTTTTTAAATTTAAAATTTTATAACTAGGGATGAAAATATATTTTTAAACTATCATATGGTTTCTAACACCAAAATTATGTCTCAAGACAAAATTTAGAGGTGGGCCTCATGTCTACAATAAAAGGCGCCTTCAATAAATCTCACACATTGTTTAAGCAATTATGGTAATTAGCACATTGGAAGCTACTCATGAGTAGAGAGAGGGTTGGAGGAGAACAAACCTAAAGAGGGGAACAAATGTAGAGAGAAAAAGATAGAGAAAGGAAATCAAAATAATAGAGCTGTTGGTTGCTCGCATGAAAACAAGGTCTTTCATTTCAACATTTTGAAAATTATGGCTATCGCAACGAGAAAGTAAATTTATCATTTACAAGAATATTATGTCTTTTGTTCGGTCAAAAAATATTATGTCTTTTGAAATTCTACAATTTCTCTCAATTTTTTCAGAAATACCTCAGGCTAGGAACTTGCCATTGGCCCCAAGTCAGTTACTCATCAATGGAAAAATATAAAAAGAATAAAAAATGGTTAAAAATAATTAAAAATCAGCAAAAACTAAAGGAAGTAAAAGCACAATATCTAAAAAGTGAACTATTAAAAAATATGATTTATACCATGAATAGTTGAGAAAAATAAAAAAGGAAATTGGATAATAAGAAAAATTCCCAGATCATTCAACAACATATTTCCAAATGTTTTCCTATTTTTTTTATATTTTTGCATAATTTTCTATTGTTCTTGGCGCATTAGGTGCCTCAACGACAAGGCTAAGCAACTCGGTGGACTTGGCTGAGTCTTAAAAATGTTGATTTGAATATTCATTTTTGTTTCTTTTGTGTGTTACCCTTTTT